CACAGAGGAACAGAACCTAAGGTGGTGACAACTTCAGTGATGTGACCCTGACCACAGCTGAATCTATGTCTTGATCCCCCGGTTTTGATTTCCAGCCGTCCCTGAGCCCATCAAACCCAGCTGCACCTTCAAACGCCACAGCAGTCAGAAACCCCAGATCTGGGGAGAGGTTTAAGGTCCTCAGGAAGAGATATTTCCCCCTTTGTTTTATAAACACAGAACCAAGGTAGAGTGAAATCCGTTGCTCTCCGTGTCAGGGCCAGATCAGAAATTGAGACCCTTAACTCCGCATCTCTCTAACCCTATTCCAGGGCAGGTTGTAATTACAGGCTTGCGCACAAGTTCATTAGCAAGTCAGTGGTTCGGGAATCAGAATGTCGCACTGGGTCAATGTTATAGACTGTGCTTGGGTTGCCAGGCTAGCCCACAACCCATGTGTGGCCGAGAGGGGGAGGGGCTCGCGTCAGACGCCCCGCTCCACCACCCACTGGCCACGTGACCTCTCTGAGCTGCAGTTTCCCCATCTGTAACACGGACCAGGCAGGCGACTATTGTGAGGATGCAATGCGACAGTGTCTTGTGAGCACTCAGTGCCTCCTAGAAGACACTCTGATGAACATAATTAAGGTAGCAATGCCAGGGTAACAATGTTTCTACAGCAGGATTTCACACCCCCAACACTGGTGACATTCTGGTGACATTCCAGGAGGGATCATTCTTTGACATGGGGACTGTCCTGTGCCTTGTAGGATGTTTAGCTGGCCTCCTGGCCTCCCTCTACCCATGAGATGCCAATAGCACCCTCCTGAAGTTGTGAAAATAAAAACTCTCTCTATCCTCACTGGAGTTGAGAGTTATAAAAAAAAAAAAAACAAAAAAAACAAAAAAAACCAAACTCTCTCTAGACATCTCAGTGACCCCCAGTTGAGAACCATGGTTTTACAGGAGAGCAGCTGAGCGTCCCAGCTGGAGCATTGGGGTTGCTCTGCTGCTGCAGCCCAGCTGGGGACACTGGGGTCATCTCCCCCCACCTGCTGAGGTGTCCCACAAGTCCAGCTCCAAGTCACTGGGGGAAACACCTAACTCGTGGGCATGGCAAGTTAGGAGTGGTCTGGTGGGTGTTTCTGGGGGTGTGACAGGGTTGAGAGGAGTCTCTGAAGTGTGTGGAAAAGTGACACATTTTCATGCAAACAGCCATGGAGCCACTCCAACCGTGCACAGAAATGCTGAGGCAACGTGGAATAAAATACAACTTCTTAAAATTGTCAGCAAAAGGGCTGCATGAACTGATGTTAAAAAGGCAGAAGAAAAAGCCTAAACAAGAGGCACCATGATCGTATCACATCTCCAGGCTGACCCTGACCTCCAAGGGCATGTGGGTCAGAGGGCATGTTCTACAGAAAGGACTCTTTTTCCAAATGGAGTAAATCTGACTTCAAAAAAACAGATTCTGAGTTTCCTTCTAGTAATTGTTGGGCATTATTCATTTCTTTTGTTGCTGTGGGAAGCAGTGCCTGTTACTAGAAACCACTTAAAAGCCACGCCCTTCCACCGGGGTGTGTGCAGGGCAGGGACACAGTCACCGACTGTCACTCATCCAAAATCCAGCAAAGCCAACAAATTCCTCCACCTAATCATCCAAAGGCAAACCCAAGAGCCAAGCCAGGTGACTGCTGTATCCACATATGCCAGGGAGGCAAATTTGGCCAAGGAATGGATCAGCTTCAAGAGTCACTCCAGACCCAGCTGGGGAGGAGGGGACTTACCTATCTAACTATCTATTCATTCATTTACTTATTTATTTAGAGGTAGGGTTCATAGATGGGAAATAGACAAACAATTCTTATATGGTAAAAATAAGCAGCATCATAAACACAAAATGACACCTTAGAATTAACTACAGTAGGAAAGACAGTTCTTTCTGCTGCAGGACAGGTCAGTTGAGGGGGCGAGGACAGGGATCAGACAGAACTCAAATTGGTTCTGGTGAGGGCACGGTGGCCTAGCAGGGTTGGCTCGGCAGTCGCTGTCTCAGGCCCCATCACTCATCCCGACCCAGACCAGCCTGAGACCGGGCTTGGAGTTACAGGTTCCCGAACGCCGGAGGGTGAGTGGGGTCTGGAAGAACGTAAACCGGCCCTAGCCTGCTGGGGATGGGAGGAAGAGTCCCCTGTCCTCTGATCGGCGCCCGGGCGGCTGGTTCAGCGCTCCACCCTCGAGCGCCGTGGGCGCAAACGCTGCAACCCTGGAGGTGCTGGGGTAAGGTCCTTTCATTAAAGCGCTTGCGGAGCCGGGACAGAGTTTCCCAGTTGTCTCACGAAGGGCTGTTCCCTGGTGCCCAAGGTGCCTCCATTAATAGCCCCCCGGGCTGTGCTGGCCACAGTGCCAGCCAAACCCACCAACACATTTCAAAATGGAACGAAATCGCGGCCGTGTGGATGCGCTTTGTTCCCGGCATTGGACTAAACGCGCTCGCCCCCACCGGGCTCGCTTTCCTCCAACCAACAGGAGGCGACATCTCTGCCCGAGGGGCCGCAAGAGGCAGCCGTGGCCACAGGCTCCCCTTTTCAAGGGCTGCCCTGAGACCCCTGTTGGTTTGGAACCGCGACCCGCGCGCAGCTCTGTGGGGGGTGCCGGCAGGGCGGGGAGGCCTCGCAGTGCCCTGCCTCCGGCCCCAACGCCACAGCCTAGCAGGGGCGGCCTGGTCCCAGGCAGCTTGTCGCCCCCAAGCTGAGCCAATCCCCAGAAATTCAGATCGACCTGGGCGGCCCGCGTGGAGATTTAGGCCCCTGAGGCGCTCTTCGTCTCAGAAGTGCGCCCCCGCACCGGTTTTCCGCCATAGACTTAACCAGAAAACCAGGGACCTGTTTCATCGAAGGAGAGCGAGGCTCTTGGACTTGCTCACCAGGAGTTCCCCCGTCACCCCGGCCTCGGGTTCAAGGGCGGCGGCGAACTTGGATTCTTAAGTGAAAATCCATCGCTTAAGAGAAATAATATTAATAAAATAATTATAATCAGTACTGCCATAATAATAAAAAATACACCAGGGACATCTACCTGCGTGGCTGCCAGGGGCTAATTATAAAGACCAGCATGCTCAAGGGTTGGGGGCTTCTTCCTGTGCCCTCCGGGAGGCGGGCCGGCCCAGCCCCACCTATCCCAGGGTCCTCAATCTCCGTGGGGAAGGGGCGGGGCAACGCCTCAACGACCCCTCCCGGACTCGTGCGAGACCCCCCTCCGCGCCCCACTCCCAGTAGGCTAGGAAAGATGGGTGTGGCCACAGCACCAAAGGGAACCTTATGCCCCCTGCTCACATTCTCCCGCTGGACTAAGCAACAGGGCGTAAAGGGGGAGGGGTCCGCCTGCGAGCTCTCCCTCATCCGCGGCGGGTGGCAGCGTCCTTTGCTGGGCAACCTGGTGGGGCGTGGTCCCCAGGACCACGCTCTGGGTGTAGGGAGGGGTGTGGTCCCTCTGCGGCCACCCGCACAGCGCGCGGAGATCTCGAATCCTGGCGCTGGCCAGATTCTGGGAGGGGACTTTGAGATGTCACTCCTGTTCCACGCGTGTCCCGGGGCTGTGGCCAGGGTTTGTCGACCTCAGCAAGCCCTGAGATCCAACAAAGGGCTCGTAAATAAGGGACGAAAAAAGGGGGAGAAGGGCGAGGGTTAGCTTAAACATTCTCATAAAAGCCAAAAAACCAGGACTAGGAGCGCAGATCATGTAACCTCTACAAACAAAGCGGCAAGCCCCTGAAGACTCCGAGTGAACGCCCCCAGTGCCCACGCCTGCAGCAGCAAAAAGCCAAGGTTTCAGCACTGACTGCCACCCCCCCTTCAATGCCAGGCCCCGCCCTGTCCTCCCAAGCCTGGCCACCCGGCTTGGCATGGTACGGTAAAGACGTGACACGCCGCAAAAAGATGGCACCTCGCGTTCCGAGGGGAAAAAAACGAGGGTGGGAGTGGGAGGAGGCATAGCCTATCCTCCCCCTCCTCGCCCACCCTGGTCCACACCCACTGCCGCAGTGAGGGGCGAGCCCTGCGCGCCAGCCCCGCGCCTCCGGCAGGGAGCGCACACGCCGGGCGCCCCGCGCGCAAAGCGCAGAGAAAGAAACCCGCCCCGAGATGCACCTGCAGTCCCCGCGCCTGTCTGTGCCGGGCTGCTGCCGTGCGTGCCAGCTAGCAGGGATCGGCGGCCGCCGCGTCGGTCCACATCGCAAGGCCAGGTGACCCCTGCCTTTCCGAGCTTCCCCACTGGGATCCGCGCACTACCTTCTCCCAGGCACGGCGCTGCTCGCGTGCCTGTGCCAGGCGCGCGCAGGGGGAAGGGCGGCTGAAGTGACAGCGCCTGGACCCCTCCCCATCTCCCCCATTCCTCCCAGCCCCCAAATGTCCCCTGCGGGTTCCTGAAGGAGGAAAAGGGGAGGGGGCGGGCCACTGCCTTAAATCAGGGGCAGTGAAGGCCCCGCCGGAATCGCTGCCTGGGAGGTGCAGGGAGGGGCATGGAGTCATCTTTTCTAGAACCCGATCCATATCTTCCTTAAGGGCTGATGGCAAACAGGGGCAGAGAAATCAGATTTCAGGTTCGGTTTCGGGGTCGTTATTGGAACCCCTCACACACACACTGGCACGCTCATTGCGGCAAAAGGCTGCGATCCGAGTGCAGAGCAGCCCCCTCCCCCAAGCCATCGCCATCCGCGCCCCACCCTGTGGGCACAGCCTCCACCTGGGGTCCGCGTGAAGCGGGTCGTGTAGACCTTGCAGTGCGCGCACACACACACTCTCTCACACTCACACGCGCGCGTGCATCCCTGCTCACGTCCCTTTCCAAGCCACCCCAGCCCCAGCTGTCGAGCACAGAGGGCGCAGGGAGGGGCCCCGCCGCTGGCCCCGAGCGATGCCCAGCGCACGAAACCCATCTCCGCGGCGCGGGGGGGCGAGGGGCGGCGGCGCGGGGTGCAGAGGGGCGGACGCGGAGGCAGATTTCGGAGCCTCGGCGCTTACCTGATAGCCGACGGAGGGTGAGGACGGGAGAAGACAGCGGAGGAGGAGCAGGCGGCTGTGGTGGCGGCGGCAGAAGGTGGGCGGTGGCGGCGGCGCTGCTGCCGGTGCCGGAGCTGGTGGGTGGCGGTGGCTGCGAGCGCGCGCGCCGGCGAGAGGGCGCGTTCTCGAGGCCGGCGGGCGGCGCAGGCGCGAGCAGCGGGAGCGCGGGCCTCTCCAGGGGCGGGGGCGGGCAGCGCGGCCTCCACGGCGCCTTCTCCTCCGGCCACCAGCGGGCGCGCGCGAGCCCCACTGCTCCGCCCTCCACGCCTCCTGGCTCGCTCCCTCCGCGCTGCCCTTCCCGGGTCCCCTCTCCCCAACGCCTCGGGCCGCGGTGCTGATCGCAGCGCGCACGCGCGTCTCCTGGCGCACGCGCACTCTGTGCCTCCCGCAGCTGGAGCCTTTGTCTTTTCGGTGGGGTCTCCTCCCTCGGGCCCTGCAGGGTCGGGGCAAGGCCAGGTGCTCCAGATACAGACCCGCTGCCCCTTTCCTTTCCCTCAGCCTGGAGCGGTGTCCCGTCTTGGAGAGGTCCTCGGCGGGCTTCCAGATGGCCGCCTGCTCATTCCGTCCTGCCATCCACCCGGACCCCAAGGCGTCCTCGGGCGCGCGACCCTCCCCTGAGTCCCCCAAATGGTCCCCTGGTTGGAGACCACCTTCCCCAGCGCCGCTTCCTTTCACGCCTCCTTTCTGCCTTTTGTGTAATTGATCAAGGTGAATTCTTTAACAAATCCTCATAAAACAGGCTGTTGTAATAATACAGTAGTACAGATATTTTTAAAAAGCAAGGAGCATTCAAATCGACTATTTCTGACACTAGAAAATAATCTTAAACGAAGTTGGAATGGAGCTTACCACATTGCAGAGCATTTTCACATAGACAGTTATTTTTATCTCATCTGTTGAAACACTTTTATAGTGTAAGTAGAGCTTGAGATCTGAATTTTAAGTGCCTGCTAGAGATTGTCACCTGGATGACCCGCCTTGGACTGAAACTGACTAGTGGCGCTCATTCTCCCGGTCACTCAGGCCCGGGCTTTGGCCTTAGCTCGGATTCCTCATCTATGTATGGGGGTTTAGGGGCAGCCGTCTGGTTCTAGGGAATTGGGAACTTGTCTTGAAGCTTTAATTTGCATAGCTCTCATGTTCTTTTTAAAACCAATGTTGTATCTTATTGATTAATAGAAAAAGCAAGTAATTAAACAGGCTTTATTCACACGGGCTTAGTTATTAATACCGGGAGCACTGGGTGGATGATGGAGATGGTGCTAAATCCACTGGTTCTGAGTTTCTGGAATTGACCTCTTTTGTTGTCATTATTGTTCCAGCTGCCACCATCCTAGTTCAAGACCTCTACTTTGATTCTGGACATGCAGGGGCCTTACTGGTCTCCCTACTCTCAATTTCTCCCTATAATAGCCCACACTAGTTAGATCAGTCTTCAGAAGTGATCTTTTTTAATTATGGCAGTCTCTTGCTCAAAAATATCTGAAATTTTTTAACTGCCTCCTAAATGAAGTTCAACTCCTTAGCCCAGCTTTCATGCTCCCCTCCTCCTCCCCTTAATCTGAGCCCCCAATCCTCTCCAGTTTCATCTATCACCTGCTCTGTGGCCACCTGAGGTTGCTCAACTAAACCTCGTCCCTACCTCTTTACTCTGGGGTTTTCCTTTGCCTGCAAAGTCCTTGCTCTTTCCCCAACCACCAATATCCCCTCTAACCTTCAAACCGTTGCTCCAGTTTTATCAAAGCCTTACCCAGTTGCCCCAACTAGAAGGGATATTTCAAAATCTCTAGAAGGAGTTCAGCAAAATTACTCATCTTCTCTCTGAAAGCGGGGAGGGAGGTGGAATTAACATCTATGTTGCAGGATTGAAATTTTATTATCATCTCTGATAATTTCCTTTCCCGTTTTCCTGTATGGGGATTATACATCCTTGTCCACTACTGTCTACATAATGTAGACATGCCCAAGCTGGAGCTTTAAGGCATTGCAAGTTTCCACCAGTTATACTATTCCTTTCTGCCACCAGAGAGGCATGTCCCCAGAGGACTGCTCCTTCAGCCTAGGTCCCTGAATGAAAAACGCAAGGAAGTACACGTAATAAGAGCAAGAAGTAAACATTTTTATGTAAGCCACCAAGATTTTAGGAGTTGTTAACTGCAGCAAAGCTAATTGATACAGGAATTAAATGAGATTGTGTATGTATATAAAGTTTCTTACACAGTACCTGACAAATAATGGGCATATAATACAATAGTATTATAAATACTAGTTATTTATTTAATCATCATATTCATAATCAATGCTTTTGCTACACATTATTTTTTTATGTAAAATAAACAGTAGCAGTCAAGTTAACATTCCACATTCAAATTTCTCATTTTGCCCCTCTAAGATATAGTGTAATTAAGAACTGACAGGGACCTAATGACACTATAGCCCCTTGATACTGAATGGTCACATTTGCCTACATTAAATTGAAGTAATCAATGTCAGAAACAATCTTATGCATATCTGCCATTTAACTATATGTGATGCAGAGCTGAGTGTTCATTCCAGATATTAATAATTTAGTCACTGTAGGTAGCTAATGGCTTACTAATTCAGGCCAAGAAAATGCGATCCCTCTCTACCCGTCCCTCTTGCTAAAATAGAAATCTCATGGCCACATATGTTATATATTTTTATGCAACAACCCCTTTCAGATGACACATATGTTATACAACATATGTAGGACCATCATAGGCAGAATCACACAGGAGAAAGAAAACTGAATTAGGTATCAGGAGAGTTGGGTTCTAATCTTAGCCATCTTGTATGACTTTAGACAAATTCATTACCTTCTGTGGTCGGATGGGGTAGAATTGAAATCCAGATATCTATGGAATTTAGGAGCTCTGCAGCTACATCTATTCACAAGGTAAGCTAAACTGTTCTTACAAATAGACCCTAAACTATCATGGTTCAAGTCCAACTCCCCTAACATTCTAAGGTGAGTGTTCCAGGTTGGTGCATAGCCTCCTCCAGGTGAGGTTCAGGAACCCAGGCTCCTTCCATCTTGTGGCTCCACCACTCCTTAGGGCCTTTTTGTTGTTTGCTTAGTTGAGGCTGGGTCATTGCTTAGAGGGCCCAGCTGGCAGAAAGGGAAGAAGCTTATGGAAGAAGCACACTAGCTTTCTTAGAGGCTAGAAGTGGCATCTGAGCATGTTTTCCTGTTAGAACGTACTCACGTGGCCATCCTTAACTGCAGGGGATACTAATAAATGCGGGAGAGTCATGGGCTCAGGAAGACGAGGAGAAAGGTTTGAGTAGAAGCTTGTCTCTGCCATATAGACATATACTTTTTATATGGAGGGTAAAAAAAAAAAATCCCTGGGATGAAAAATCTGAACTTGTCTATCGTGAGATTCTGACATATGTGAATATGTTGGTAGACCATGTGGGGGGCAGGGGGATTGATAACTAGGAGAGAAAGATAAAAGCCAAATTTCTAATTAAGTTCTGAGAGAGAAAGCATCATTGTACACTTGATATCAGAGCATATTTAACCTTTTTTATAGCATGGAACCCTTTGATAGCCTAATTAAAGCCCCATCTCAGAAGAATATATTTAGATGCATAAAAAAATATCCACAAGATTACAAAGAAAGCCCATTATGTACAGTTTTCAAACTATTTAAATATCTGTGATATGGCATGTCATGGGCCTGGAGATGGGCTGTCCAGGTCCACTTTTAGGGAAGGACTCATTCCAGCCACTGGGAGTGCTGTGGGCATTCAGGCCTCAGCTTCAGGGATTGCCTCAGAAGCAAGAGTCACCTCCCTGCTGGGAGACCCACATCCGATGACTGATTGAGCTCGGAGTGCAAAGGCCCCATGATCTTGGTCCCACACCGGGCAAGTCTGATGGGCCCTTTTAACTCCAGAGCTTCCTCCTTTGCTCAGTCCTGCTTCCATCCCCCACTTCCTCCTGTGTTGATTACGAGTTCTAATAAACATTTGGTTTCTTAAACTCTCTGCTTCTTGGGGAACTCAACCAAGAACAGCTGGCGTCAGGAATGGTTCAGGAAAGCAGACGGTAAGGTGGAGTTTCAGAGGTGGGTCACTTGTTGCCCAGCTGTCAGTGGGGACCCCATCACAAGGCGGCACCAGGAAGCAGTCAGTTGTTAAAATGGTAAATTGGGATGGCGTGCTGGTGGAGGAGCATGCACTAGCTGGTGTGACGTAGCAGGTGCTTGAGGAACACAGGGAAAATAGTAACTGAGGACAATGTCATTGGGTGACTGTTGCTGAGTTTAGTGGAATAATCACACTCCAAAGAAGGTTAAGCTTCTGGCCAAGACAGGCCGGCTATGACAAGGTCAGAGCCCTTGTTGGGAAAGGATGGGACCCTGATATATGAAAAGGGAGCACCTGAGTTGCTGTTTCTGAAAATCATGGATTCCCAGATTCCTTTGAATGCTCTGAGCCTGTAGCAGTGCCCTTCCCCCACTCCCACGTGAAAACAATGCAAAGGCCTTTTTTCACAGTCTACATGGAACCCCTTCTGGAAGTCTCCTGCCTCCCCTCCTGGCCAATGAGCATGAAATAGGTTAAGTCACAGCATAACCCAGTAAGGGATATGTACCTTTCTCCCATAAGGGAGAAAAGGGACTGTACCCCAAAGGAGCTGCAAGGCCTGCCCAGCATGAACCACAAGAATGGAGAAGACACGTGGAATGGATTTCAAGGGTGCTGGGTCAGGAGGGCCAGAACAAGAGCTTGGATAAGGGAGACTGTGTTGATTTGGGAGCATTTTCTCCCATAATGCAGAATTTAACATCCTGGCAAAGCTTCCCAGAGACCGTATGAACTCGCTCCTCGAAACATGAAAAAACATAGGCCTGCACTTAGTGGGTAGAAATGCCTGCATTGCCCCGGTGGACAGTGGAGGAATGCGTCCCAGGGTTAAGGGCAGTTGGCCTGCTGGAGGGAACACACGGTGGCAAGTCTAGAAAGCTCAGCAGATGATAATGTTCCATAGGGAGGAGCAGAGGACAACTGCTCCAAGGCCACAAAGAATGTCCTGATAAGAGGGACACCAGCATCAATAGGCAGATCAGGCGTAGCTCTTCTCTGCAGGCCAGAACTGTGCAGAAGTTCTTGCAGAATTAGGCCTGCTGGCAGCAATGGAAACAACAGAGCCCAAAACAAT